GATGTTCTAGAGATGTTTGGAGACTGTGTTGAAAGGGTGAGGTTAGAGGAGGAGGAGTGATGAATATTGTGTTGATAAGCATTTAGATATGCAGGGGTTGTTTTTGTTCTAGAGGATCTCCTGATGGGTGGTGGAGGTGAATTTGTTGGTGGAGAAGGGTTATTTTGGATTGCTGGGATGATCTGGGATTGAGTTGGTGGAGATGGAGGTTGATTTGTTGGAGATGGAGGGTGATTTGTTGGAGATGGGGGTTGATTGATGTATGAGTTTATATCATGTGATATTTGAGAGGGTTCAGGAAATAGTGGTTTGTGAATCGAGACAAGCTGCTAAATTGTAATAAACATTAATTGGTTACGGAAACACTTTTATTTATCAAGCCTTATATGAGTTTGAGATCGAGTTGGTTATCATACAAATCGAGATAGTTTCCAAAACGTAGAGTTGAGTCGAGCTTGCAAGCAGTTCGTTTTGTTTAACAGTTTTATCTTGATTCCTCAAGTCAATAATGAAAATGACTTATCTACCCGTGACATTGTGCCTCATCATTTTACTAAATTGAACACCCATTGGTTTCAAAAGGAAAAAGAAGTGACCCTCCGTTGAAATAAGTAAAATTATTTCTAGTTCGACTTTATTTGTGGGGGAACAACTATAATTTCACATGTTATAATTACTCTTCTTCCATTCACATGATTTTATTTTTTATAAAAGTCAGAATAATTCAATGCGACGGCACAACAAATTGTAAGTATGTGAAAAATAATGGGAAAAAAATAAAAATCATCACCTTTAAATGTTTTGGTGTTTTTTGAGTGTTGTTGGTTGACTAATGTGAATAAAAGATGTACATGTCAATTTCGTGCAGCATTTGTACATTAATTTTCAACTTATAGAATCTCATGCGCCTCCCAATTTTATTTTATTTATTTTATATTACATATATAATATAAATAAAATAAATAAAAAACAGTCATGCTTGCATTAATTTTTCTTATCTTACCTAAAAAAAAGGGCTTCGTGATTGCAAAACAAAAAGAAGCAAACAAATATGAAAATCAAACAAGGGCTTTTCGGTTGTCCCCAACAGGAAACAGTAACAAATTAAACTCACAAAACATGCACAATTGAGGGTGAGACTTTCTATTTCAAAATCATGTTTTAATTTATATTTCATTCTAGTAAATTGTTGGCAATATTTTGTAGGGCTATTTGAAAAAATATGGAATAAGAAAATAATTTGACTAAATTAGTTAATTTTCATTATCTACAACACTCTTACCATATTTGTGTTTGTCCTACAAATGCATATGTAATAATGAATTTGAATGAAGTAATTAAATAATAATTTTGAAGAGATAAGAATATAACCCTAATAAGTTTGGCTGTGATGCATCTAACATGGTGATGTTAATTAACTTGAATTAATGCATTCGTTTAGTTTAGGTATAATCCCTCATTTGTATATTAATTCAGAACGTGTTCAGCTTAAGTGACATATTATTACGCTTCGAATGATGACATGGCGGAAATCTATGCTTCGTGATGTTGTTTATATATTCATTTTTTCTCTGAAGTTAGATATATTTGGTATAGACATAAATAACTTTTACAACAATAACTTTTATTATATATTTTTGAACTCAACAACCGTATAGTACACGAGTATTGTACTAATGGTATATTAAATATGATTTGATAAGATGGCAATCTCTCATTAATTAATAGGCTGGCTAAGTAGCTAAGTGAGGTATTTTAATTTGTATTGGCCTAGATAAACATGACATGAGAAATTAATTAAAGAGTAAGGATGCTATTAATTAGTTGGATAAAATAGTTAAATAAATATTCTTGTTTTTTTTATTATTATTATTTTTTTTATTTTTTAACTTTTTCTTTAGCGCCTTTTCTTTTCATTGAAGCCTTAATTTCCTCTCCTAGTTTATTATTTTTTTTCCCCTTTGCTTTTGGTTGCACCCAAATTGATAAATGAGTGCACATGAATTATTATTGTGGATTTGATAGATAAAAAACGAAAGCCATATATGTTGGTGGTGTCTCAAAGCCCTCTGATCCTCTCCAAGCTTAATTTCCACTCATACATACATAGAGAGGAAGGAGTAGGACCCCTCATTTTATTAATTCTTACTTTACAATTAAATAAGGTTCTTTCATTTTATTAATTCTTCAATCATCTTGCCACGTGTCGTGAGCTCATAGGTGATCCAGTCACATTCAATGAAATTACTAGTACAACACCCGTGTATTGCACGGGTGCTTGTTAAAAAATTATACTTAAATTTTAAAATTAATGAGAAAACTATATTAAATTTAGTTTACCTTTAAAAAATATATTACTATATATTTTAGAATTTAGTTTACCTTTTTACAAAAAATAAAAAATATATTACTATATATTTTAGAATGATATGTGTTACTTATGACTTACATGTGTTATATTATATTAGTTTTTATAATTTATATCATATAACTACTTGAAATATAATATATTAGTTGATAAATAATTTTATTTTTCTAATTAATATTAAAAATAATTTTATTATTGTTATAAAGATAAATATAAATTATTTTTTTATACATACAATATGGATGTTAAATCGAAACTCATCAAAAGAAGATTAATTTGATATATTACATATGTAAAACTGATAAAAATACAAAAGTTATTAATTTTTAAAATACATATACAATTCGATAGTTATAATAAGGAGTGATATTAAAATGCAAGAAATACATGTAACATGACCATACATATATATGGTAATTCGAACTTAATTATTTTTAGTTTGGAATTAAATTAAAATTTAACCACGCCTAATAACGAAGCATATGTAATTTTGTCACATAAGATTCCGAAGCACCAGAAGCAGCCACGTAGGCTCAACGCGTTCTGGATTAATATATAGGGGGAGGGATGTGAATTATGTGAATTTAAAGAATTTTATAACGTTTATTTTTAAAAGAAAAAAAATTTATGTGAATTTTAAGAATCATCTTGCACTTTATGAAATGGGAAAAATGAAATAAAATATATTCAAATTGGATGAGTTATGGACTAGCGATGTGTAGTATAATATATACATCAGCTCGTTTAATGAAATGTTATGGACTAGCGATGTGTAAAGACTTAAGAACACAGACCGAACTAGTTGGCTCGAAGCTTGTGAAAAATCAGCTCGCTTGGACTTGTTTGCTCGCGAACAAGTTCAATCGGACCATTTCATTTAAAATCCATAAAAAAAAATCGAGTGTTAGCAAACAAGCTCGGCTTGTTTAATAAATGTGTTTGATTAGATGTTAGAGTTTAATTAGCTAGTTCAAGTAAACAAATGAGTCGAGTTCAAACTCTCACAAGGCAGATTGAATTGTGATGTTTGTGAACTGTTAAATTCATTTAACAACTTTAATGATATGTCAATTTGATAATACTAATTTGTGAATAACTTAAACTAACTGAAACCTTTGCCCGTGAAATATATGTTGGTATGGCTCATATATTGACAAAAGAAAGAGGCAGGCTGATGCCTGCGAGCGTAACGGAGCGAACGTACCGAGGGAAGCGGAGCGACCGAGCGAAGTGAGCGGAGTGGTGCGAGGGCAGAGCCCCCGCGGTACGGTACGGGATATTTAAGTAAATTAATACCTTGTACGGTATTTATACATGGTGTATTGATGTATTTGAGACTATTGAGAATAATAAAGATCCCTCAGCCGCCGTGGACGTAGGCATATTGCCGAACCACGTAAATCTTGTGTTGTTTAATTTTCTCGTTTTTTAATTCATATGTCATATTGTCATCTTCTCTCAACAATATATATGCATAATCCACGAATTTAATATAATAGTAATAAAAAGAAAAAACCTCCAAATCCTAACGACTTTTCTTATCTTGGTGCGCTAGACGTGCGTGGGACCGTACTTATTTTTCTCCCGTTTCTTACAATATTATTTTACAAAAACATGATATTTATTTACTTTGAAATTATCAAGTTTGATTAAACAAAAAAAAAAAAAAATAAGTATCTACATAAAGGGCTGTGCAAAATTGAGTTAATTAATATAATGATGCTAATTTGGATTTGTTGGAAGAGAAATCTATTAATATATAATAAGGATTAATATAATTCACTTTTATAAACACTTTCCCACCAATTTCATTAATTACATTCTATATAGAGAAATAACACACAAGTGAATCATTAATTGCTGGAGATATATGGCCGCGTTTGGAAGATAGCGGATTGAAGATAAATTAGCGGATTAGACTTAATTGAGAGGTTTGACCCGTCAAATCCGCTATTGAACTTGTTTGGTAAATAGGTTATTTGATAAGTTTTTTGAATCCAAAACTCTAATTTAGAAAAAACTCATTAGAGCAGCGTTTTGGGATAGAGGATTCACAAAAATCATTTACTTGGAACTTTTTAATTTGTATTATTTATTTGACAGTCTACATTGGTTTATGGTGCTAAAAAATAATAATATGTCATCCAAATGATTAATTCATCTATAAAAATATAAAATTCATAACTTCTTCATCAAGTGTTAGTAAATTTTTTTTTAAAAAAAAATATTTATAAATTACCAACTAAAGAATATTAAATGTTTTAATATATTATTATTAAAAGAATATACTCTAAATCATTTTATAATGTCAAAAAACTATAAACTTTCAGCTATTTACCAAACACTTATTTAAAAACCGCTAATGCAATATGGTGGTCAAATCAACTAATATAATCCGCTATCTGCTATCCGCTGATATAATCCGCTATCCGCTATCCGCTGATCGCCAAACAAGGCCATAATCTATCAATTAAAAAAGAAAATTCTAATTGATGGAGATAATCTATCCATTACAATAGGAAATGAATTTGTAATTTACTTTGTCAAATTAAGATTTTGAGTTAATTCTTCTATAACATGTGTGCGGACGGAATGCATAGATACAACCTCAAAGGATTTAAATGAATGATCTTTTTTTATCCAATAATACTTCATGAACATAAACATTAACCAATAAAATAATAATTGCCCACATATTATTACCTACTTATATACAACCTTAAATCAAATCATACAGTACCTAAGTTCACTTTAATGTATAAATCATTAGAATAATAAAGAATATAAATTTTATAGATAACAGTTTTATTTTTTTTCCTAATTACTATGTAAAAATACTTTTTAATAAAAGTAACAAGCTTCTAATCTATATCTATTTGATTATTTTTATTCTTTTAGTTTAAATCTATTCATTTTTAAATATATATATATATATATTATATTGTACTCATATCGGCATTTTCTATTAATAATTATCATTTAAACAACAAAAGATCACTTATCCTACTACGTGCCAATATTGTGTTTTGTTTAATATTGTAAAATATTAAATTCAACATGTTTCAAATGGAAACAAATCTGACATAAATTGAGAGTAACAATCAACAAGATAAATAAAAAAATACACTAGTCATGGTATAAAAAAAAAAGAGTGCTATTATAAAATTGATAAATACAAAATTTGATCTTTAAGGGAAATCTGATTTGCATGTTTCTTTATAAATATAAATAAATATCATATTTGAACTTTAAAATTTTTATGTTTTTCACATATATTTATGTAATATATACAACTTAAATAATAATTTAAAATTAACAATATATTGTAAAGATTTCATATTAAAGTTAAACAAAGAAAGGAATCAAATCGGTCATAAAAAAACTAAAATAACAAAATATATAAATAAAAAAATTCACTAATCATGGTAACAAGTTTTTAAAAGTACCACAATATTCCATTCACTAATCATGTATCCGATTACATTCAAAGTTATTCAAAGAATGGAGTCAAATATATCTATATAAAATAAGAACAA